ACCTACCTACCTACCTACCTACCTACCTACCTACCTACCTACCTACCCACCCACCCACCCACCCACCCATCCATCAAATGACTGTATTAATCATTTTCCAGTGTCCCGTATAATCAATTCAACATTTCAGTTTAAGATCAGACAAAGCGACAGACACAAAACACAGAGTTCGGGGAGACTGTGGGCCACCCATCGGGAGGCGCTCCTTTTGGGGTTGGAATTAAGAGGGGAAAAAAGGCCCAGTGCCCCGCCCCCTAGAGGGGACGTAACAGTGATTGAAAACAAAACACGTCTGTACAAGTTAGCACATATACAGCAAAACCTCTACACCGGAGTTTAACTGGTTCCACGACCGACTTCGTATGTTTAAATATTGGTATGTTGGTTCAAATATTTCCATCAGAACACATGGTAGTTCCAATAATTCGTTCCAATCTCGGCTCGGCCTGAGACTCTGTCTGCTCTGTGCAGGTGGAGAGCTGGAAGAGGAAAGCCGTGGAGACCTGCTCCTCCAGCAACCAGCTCCTGGCTGCAGGTCTGTCCCACAACATAGAAAAGTCCAGTTCAGGCAGCTGGAGGGGAAGTTTTCCTCAGATCCAGAAGCTTCTTCAGTTCTGACTGATGGTGGAGCTCTGAGGTTAATATACTGTAGGTGGAACTAAAGAATTAGGGGGAAACCAAAATTAAATAAATAAGTGGAAGAAGCAGAAAAACAACCAAAAATTAGTGGAAGAAGCAGCAAAACAATTTACATAAATGTAGAGAACATTTTCCCTACTTAAACTTTAAACTAACTTAGATTATTTATTTGTATGTAACTTTCCACCTACAGATTAATATACTGTAGGCAGAACTAAAGAATTTGGGGGGAAACCAAAGGGGGCTCTGGTCCCTCCTGCTGGGGGTTAATGGTGGTTAACAGCTAAACGACCAAAAATAAATAAAAGAAGCAGCAAAACAATGACTAAAAATGTTCAGGCAGCTATTTTCTTTATTCAATATTTATGTTTACTTTTGACACAGGTGACATTAGATTTTTTGGTCCTTGAGTTGCGAAATAGAAAGCTCAAATTAAGTTAGAAATAAAAAAGAACTCAAATAAAACAGCAATCACTTGATTTTTTGGGGAATTAGTCGTCAAGATTAGTCGACTAATCGAAAAATTAGTCGTTAGTGGCAGTTCTATAATTAAGAATCACTGCTAATGTTAAAAAACAACCCTAATCCATTAAGTCTGAGCTACAATGAACACTCGGCTCTAAGCTCCTGAAGAGCAGCAGCAGGTTTGGCGTTCAAAAGCAGCAGGATTTCTGATTCCCACTTCTCCGGGTTTCTGATCTGATCCTCCTCTGAAGAGCCCCCAGCAGGGATGGAGGAGGCCTGAGGCGGCCGACTGACGGCTGTGTGTGTGTGTGTGTGTGTGTGTGTGTGTCCCTGCCGCAGATCCGCTCATCGGCCACATGGAGATGGTGACGGAGATCGTGGTGCCCACGGTGTGCACGCTCTGCATCCTGCTCAGCGCCGTCTTCCTCATGTTCCTGCTGCGCCGCCGCCTCTGAGGGGCCGCAGGAGCCGGTCAGAGGGACGCTCCGGTCCTAAAGCCTTCGTTTCCTGGCCCGAACTGTCCCCCTTTTATGTTTGGAACACGCTCCTGGATCCCGTTTGACCTGTGGATGGGTTCGCTTTATTATCTGATAACTTTTGAGGTGGGTTTTGTTACATGTGAATCATTTGGCTCATCAAATCTTGACTAAATAAATTTACTGCCCCCTTAATTTGAGTCGCTCTGTTCTGAGTATTAAATGTTTGAGTTTCTCCCTCTTGGTGAAGCTGGTTCCAGCACGTTAACATGTACAGTAAAACCTCTACACAGGAGTTTAACAGGTTCCAGGACCGACTTCGTATGTTCAAATATTGGTATGTTGCTTCAAATCTTCCCATCAGAATACACTGTAATTCCTACAATTCGTTCCAAAAACCTATGATAACTCCTTAATAAATACTGCCGATAATTACACATAGTAATAAAACAAATGACTTATAGAAGAAAGATGGAAAAAGAAATAAATGAGAAAGAAATAATCAATAAAAAACTGGCCCTTCACCTCAGAGACTGAACGGAGGTAGAGGTGGAGACTGAGATACAGGATGTACCCTAACTTACTCTGACTTTACTACCTGAACTTTAAACTAACTGAGCATATTCATTTTTATCTATTTTTTATATTTTTCTATCTATAGATATATATAGTTTAGGCGATCGTAAGTAGAGGTTCTACTGTATTTACAGCCGAACCTCTACTTACGATGCCTAAACATACGAATTTTCCAACATACGAAGTGAAATTCACCACCTGAACTTTAACTTAGCTTATTTATTTTCTAATTTTTATATACAGTATATATTTTTTTCTATGACTTCGACATATGTTGGAAATTTACTTTGGGTTTTGAGTCGAATATTTGATCGAATTTCACTTTGTATCTAGGAAAATGCGTATGTTTAGGCATCAGAAGCCGAGATTCTGCTGTATTTTCCTCTTATTTCTGTTATATCTGCAGTAACAGAGCTCATTTAATGAAGATTAGATCAGATCTTGGTGGGAAAGCAGCAGAAACTCTGAGTAACCAGCAGAACAGGAAGCATCCAGCTGCTTTTCAGCCCAAACAGGAACAAACCCAGTCAGGACTCCTTAATGAGAGAACTATCTCAGGATGAAGTCATCAGAGCTGATGAACGCCTCCTCATGTGGGTGTGTTGCTATAAACCTAAACAGTTACACCCTTTTTTAAATCTTTCATGCAAACACCAGGTAAAAATACCCTGACATGGTTTCAGTTTTGATAAATTGATTCACAGCATTCATCCATCTTTTCTACTTCACTAAAACCTCTTGTAGGATTTTCAAAATAGTCTGATTAAACATGAGATTTTCCCCAATTCCAGAATATAAAATCACTTGTACAAGACATAATTTGATATAGTTTTTAAAAGTTTGACTTCAATAAAATGTGAATGTTGCAGGTAAAGCAAAAACTCATCTGCAAATAAACCACAGCATGCTGTTATAAGTCTGGAAAAAACGAGAAAACTGACTTCAGCTTTAAGCAAATATCAAATTTAATCAAATAACAGAATGAAAAGGTCATACAAAAAAAGACTTAAAGAGTGATAAAAGGTGCTGGGTGGGGATTTATTGAAATTAAGACAGTTCACCATTCAGAGAATGAGAAGAAATCAAAGCTGATCATGTGACTCACTGCTGGCGTCTGATTGGTGGGACTTCATCACACTTTTTCTGACAGTCAGAAAGTTTCCCAGTTTGTCCAACCAGTCCCTCGGAAACAGTTATCATTCAGTCTGAGACACAGTTCCCCATTTGAACCAAGTAGCACCTTTTCCTGGAGGTAGGACTTGAACCAGGACTTGACCAAGACTTGTTTTTGCAATATGGTACTGAGGGTCCAAATGACTTATTTACAACATTTGAATTCCCCAATTCGAACATGATTGGCGTAAAAAATAGACCCACAATAAGCTAAGCTGTCTCCCATTATCTAAAAAACAATGATAGTGAAAGTATGAGAGGACTTTCTAACAGACTGTGAAGGAGAAAAGATTCCCATCGAGACAAGAAAAGAACCATTATTGTTACTGCTTAGTCCTTAATGGGGTTGCGGGGAGAACTGGAGCCTATGTCAGTGGTCAATGGGCAAGAGGCTGGACAGTCCACCAGTCCATCACAGGGACACACACAGACAAACAACCACACACACTCACATTCACTCCTAAGGGCAATTTGGAATGTCCAACCAACCTAACATGCAGGTTTTGGGACTGTGGGAGGAAGCCGGAGAACCCGGAGAGAACCCACAGACACAGGGAGAACATGCAGACTCCACACAGAAAGGTCCTGGTTCCCCCGGGGATTCAAACCCAGAACCTTCTTGCTGGGAGGCAACAGTGCTAACCACCACACCATCGTGCCGCCCAACAAAATAACCTAAAAATAGACTCACTTGTGGAAAATCCCCAGAGAGAAAAGGACATTGATTCCACATATGAAGAACATAATTAGCAAGGATGAAAACTGAGGAAAATAAGAATTGATACTAGAAATATGTCAGTAATTTGATCATAAACTGTATTAATTATATTAAAAATAAATAAAGTACTTGTCATGTGTTTTTACAAGATTGAAGAGAAAAAATAAGAATAAAAACGTAATGCAAACCATTTGACATTAAAACAGATGGTTTTAAAACACTGGTGTAAAAAAACGTTTGAACGTTTGTATGAAACTAAAATGAAAAATAAAAATATATTTGGGCAGTTCCAGATTTTAGAAAATACTCTGCATATTTGAACTCTTTCAAATATTATCTTAAGTCAAATACGTCAAATGAATTCATATTTAAAGTTTGACGACATAGTTTATTATGAAAAATCTTAAATATTTTGACACCGAGGCTGTTCCGTACCGGAAGTTGTGTCAGCTAACTTCCGCCTGCCGGTCGTATCTCTCACGGACCAGCTCAACAGCAGGTACGGGATTAAATCTCTTTTTTTATTTAATATAAACGTATTTTTTGTGTATTGAGTTATTTTTAACCCTTTTCGGAGGAGTTTTAGTCCGTTATGTGACTTCTGTTGGTTCAAATATTCGCAGATTTTGTCTGAATAAATGACTTCGCGCGGTGGTTTTGACCGTTTATAGGTTAAACCAGCTCAGAAACACGTCAGTTAAATGGTTTAAGGCTTTTCGAAGCTACTCTGTTCTTTTTGTTTACGTCTGGATTCCGGAAACCCCTGTTTGCACTTTCCCGCCTCGAAGCTTCTTCTTCTACGTCTTTTTCTTCTTCTTCTCGGGCTGCATACCTTCAGCCGCGTGTCTGACCCCTTCCGGCCAATAAGCTGTCATTATTTTCTGCTTCACACGATGGAAATAAAGTTTCCAGCTGCTCCCTCAGACTTGTTCTGGGTTTCAACTTTTCTGTGACATGTCAGAGCTCTGATTCACACACCTGAAATCAGTTTATCAGGATTTCACACCCATTTCTCATGTTTTTTTTTTCTCCAAATTTCAGCAACTCTCCGAAATGTCAGAAATGCACAAAGCAGAATATTTATTAACCACTAAAACTATTTTCTTTTCAGAAATGAAAGGAAATTATACAATAAACATCTTAATCAGAAACAATGTTTACTGATTTTATTGTATAGTAAAACAGAGTATTTGAAAAATGCATTGAAAACTATAATTATTCTACTTTATTATTAAAATATAATTTGGGTTAAAGAGCTTCCTCCTACTGGAGTACAGCAGAACTTCTACATAGGAGTCTAACTGGTTCCAGGACCGACTTCGTATGTTAAAATATTGGTATGTTGGTTCAAATATTCCCATCAGAATACACTGTAATTCCTATAATTCGTTCTAAAAACCTACGATAACTCCTTAATAAATACTGCAGATAATTACACATAGCAATAAAACAAATGACTAATAGAAGAGAGATGTAAAAAGAAATCAATGAAAAAGAAATAATCAATATAAAAGGGTTTTTATTGGCCCTTTACCTCGGAGACTGGAGGTAGAGGTGGAGACTGAGATACAGGACGTACCCTAACTTACTATGACTTTCACTACAGGAACTTTAAACCAACTTAGCTTATTTATTTTTATTCAATTTCTATACTTGATTTTTTTTTTTTCTTTGACTTTGCAGTTGTAAATTTACTTTGGGTGCATGTAGGAAAATGTTTGTTTAGGCATCGGGGGCACAGGTTCATTAGAGGAACAGAGTTATTCTTCTGCAGGGTTTGGGACAGAGCTCACCCTGGAGGGGGGGTGGGTTGGGACCTTTCTTAAGCTCCTTCCTGTTGCAGCAAACTGACTGATTCCCTCTCAGAGCAAACCTTCTGCCGGCTGATCAGACTGTTGCTCTTCCTCCTGGAGCTGGACGCCATGCTGGACCCGCAGAGCGACGCCCTCAGCGACGACCACGGCGGTTCAGAAGACGAGGCCTTCCCCCCCCTGCCTCCTCCCCACTCCCCGGGCCTGGGGGGGGCTCAGGATGAGGACGGCCCGTTCGCAGACGGTGAGCGGCTGCTGTCAGGGACCCGTTTTCAGAGCCTTTAACCCCCTAAAACCCGAGCTGTGTCCACATTTAACCCCCTAAAACCTGAACCATCCTCCATCCATCCACCCTCCACTCATCCATCCATCTATCTAAATCCATCCATCCATCCCACAGGGCCGGACGTGTCCGGTCTGGCTGATGTTCCGGCTGCTCAGAGGAAATCGGTGAAGAGGCCTCAGCCCAAACTGGACTCTCAGAGGTGCCTCCGACACTCAGCATGACTCACTCAGTCTTAAAGGCGTATTTATTATTTATTATTCGTTTAAGCTTGTTTTTTAAACACATCTTAAAATGTAAAAAGAAAAAAAGCTTTCCTCCAAAGGCTTCAAAACGCTCCGTTTTGAGGGGCCAACGCTAAATGTCCAGCTGGGTTTCACGTAAAAGGCCAGATTTAAGGTTAGATGTCAGCAGGGAGGTGAAAAGGAGGAGTTGGGATGGGTCAGGAGGAGTCGGGATAGGTCAAGAGGAGTCGGGACGGGTCAGAAGGAGTCGGGACGGGTCAGGAGGAGTAGGTTTGGGTCAGGTGGAGTTGGGATGGGTCAGGAGGAGTCGGGATGGGTCAGGAGGAGTCGGGATGGGTCAGGAGGAGTCGGGACGGGTCAGGAGGAGTTGGTTTGGGTCAGGTGGAGTTGGGATGGGTCAGGAGGAGTCGGGATGGGTCAGGAGAAGTCGGGATGGGTCGGGAGGAGTTGGGATGGGTCTATTTTGGGTCTATTTTGGGCCTTGGCTCCGGCCTCTGACCCGGAGGCTGCTGCTGTTCTCAGGCTGCTGTCAGACAGAGGACTTCCTGCTCTGCGCACGCTGTTTGAGGACGTCCGCTTCAGAGGCAAAGGCCACGAGGTGAGCATGGGGGGTCCGGGTGTGGTGGGGGGGGGGTCCCCTTCCCCCCCCCCCCCCCCTGAGTGCTGTCAACCACCCCCCAGGCGGAGGACCTGCGGGTGCTGGTGCAGAGGATGGAGAACTGGGCCCACCGGCTGTTCCCCAAACTGCAGTTTGAGGACTTCATGGAGAAGGTGGAGAAGCTGGGCGGCAAGAAGGAGGTGCAGGTGGGCGGAGCCTCTGCTCAGCTGGTTCTGAGCTGTTTTACCTGGTTCTATATGGTTCTGGTTGGTTTTGTCCGTTTCTGACCTGTTATATCCGGTTCTGACTGGTTCTGATGAATTTTATCCTGTTCTGCCTGGTTTTATCCAGTTCTGACTGGTTATATCCGGTTCTGAGCCCTTCCATCCGGTTCTGTTCAGTTCTGACCGGTTCTATCCGGCTCTGTCTCTGCAGACCTGCCTGAAGCGCATCCGGCTGGACATGCCTCTGACCCACCAGGACTTCATGGAGGGTAAGAGTTATTAAATTAATTAATATTTAAAAAAACTAAATAGTACTACGGAGTTTGAGGGCCACATTTACAACAAAAGGTTTTTAAAACTAAATTAGAAGGGTAAAGTGGTAAATGTGTCCTGTTTCAAGGTTTATTGTGAAATGAGAAACGTGAAGCATCCGTTGGCTCATCAGTTTTAGTGTCAGAAGTAACAGGACGTTGAAAAGAACAGAAAGAAAAAGCCTCTTTTCCACAGACGGACTTCTCCCCACGTTTAGAACCCACTTTAGTGTCCCGGCGAGGCCTCTGAGGACGCCTCACAGCTGGTTCTGCTGCGGCGCCACGGGCCTGATCAGGCTAGCTGGCTAATGCTAACGTTTATGCTAATGTTAATGCTAAAGCTACTGTTAACGGTAGCGTTAGGGGGTCCAAAGGGGCCTGATGGGGCTCCAGGAGCTGAGCAGCTGTGTCTGGTTCCAGGGCCTGAGGAGGAGCCGCCTCCAGAGCTGGACCGGTCCAGGGACCTGGACCTTGACCCGTTTGGGGGGGGGCTCCCAGAGGCCGGTCCACTCCACCCCTGCCCCCCCGGTCCACTCCACCCCAGCCCCCCCGACCCCCTCCCTGACCGAGGAGCAGCGTCGGCGCATGGAGCAGAACCGGCAGCGCGCCCTGGAGAGGAGGCTGGCCCGGATGCAGAACCAGGACCACAGCCAGGACCAGGACCAGAGCCAGGACCAGGTCCAGATGCAGAACCAGGACCAGCGGCAGAACCAGGACCAGGTCCAGATGCAGGACCAGGTCCGGATGCAGAACCAGGACCAGGTCCAGATGCAAAACCAGGACCAGGACCAGCTGCAGAACCAGGACAAGAGCCAGGACCAGGAACAAGTCCGGATGCAGAACGAGGAGCAAGACCAGGCCTCAATGCAGGACCAGAAACAGAACCAGGATCAGAACCAGGACCAGCTGCAGCCAGGTGAGAACCAGAACCTAGACCGGGCTCGTTTCTGTGTCATCCAGTTTAAGTCCATGTTCTGATGATCTCCTTTTTGATCCCTCAGACCCACAAAGCGTTGCAGCGCCCCCAGATCCACCGGCGGAGCCCCTGAGCGACCCCCCCGATCAGGAGGAGGACCAGCAGCCCCCTCCCCCCACAGACTGACCCCCCCTGGCCACGTTGCCGTGGTGTCGGCCTCAGGGGAGGGGCCTGCTCCTAATGATAGAGGACTTAGATGGATCTTGTTCAGGTTCTGAGCAGCAGAGGTTCTTTTGAAAAGACTTTAAACCGTTTCCCCCCAAAACGAGTCCTGCATCTGGTTCTCAGCCCAGGACCGGGACCAGAACCGGGACTTGGTCCCAGTCCTGGTCCTGGTCTGAAGGTTCAGAACAGCAGAGCCACAGTTTGATGAATCAAGTCGTTTTTATTTCAAACACGTTAAAAATCCTAAATAAAATAAACAAAATAAAAGCTCTGAAAAAGGTTTCTGCCTCATGCCCCCCCCACCCAAGGTTCCTCATCAAACCAAACCAACTCAGCAGCTTTAACTCACAGCGTCTGGAGGCCTCAGCCACGCCCCCCTCCCAAAGTCACGTGGCCCGCTGAGCCTGGGCCGACCTTTGACCCCGGGGGCCGTCCAGGTCCAGCAGGGCCGGGTCCAGCAGGGCCAGCTCCCGGATCTCCTCCAGCAGGGAGTGCAGGTTTGGGGGGGGGCTCTGCAGGAAGGGCCTCTCCTCCGGGGGCAGCGGGGGGCTCGGCGCCCCCTGCTGGGCCTCCTCTGCCAGCCGGACCACCTCCTGGACCACCTGCCGGGCCGCCTGGCCCCGGCCGGGGGGGGGGCCCGCCGGAGGGGGGCCTCCGGGGCCAGGGGGGGGCCGGCTGCTGATGAGCTCCAGGTTCAGGGTGTTGGCGTGGCAACTACTGGGGAGCACGGAGATCCGGACCTGGAGGGGAAAGAGGAAAGGTTCCAGTCCGGACATTTTGGAGTTTTTAAAACCTTTTGTTTTTAATTAAACATCATTTTGAATCAGTAAACATGCTGATCAGGGCTGAAACAGCATCAGGGTTAGGGTTAGATAACCCATAAATAATCCGGTTTCCCCAACGTTCAACACATTTCTCCAGTTCCAATAAAAAAATTTAAACCTGAGAAAAAATTTAACCCCAAAAAAAGTTTTACAAAAAAGAAATCAGAATCTGAAAAAATGAACCTGAAAGAAATTTTAACCCAGAAAAATTAAACCTGTGCGAAAAAAGTTTGAAAAAAAAACTGAAAAAAAAACATAAATTAAAGAAAAATTAAAGAAATGAAAACCTCAAAAAAAATTTTACCAAAAAAAAGTTTTACAAATAAATAAAAATCGGAAAAAAATTAACCCGAAAGAAAATTTAACCCCAAAAAAACTTTTTACAAAAATGAAATAAAGATCCGGTTAAAAAAAAAGAATCAGAAGAAAAATTTAACCCGAAACTTTTTTAAACAAAAACCTGAAAAAAAAGTTTGTTACAAAAAGAAAAAAAATCTGGATTTTCTTTTTAAAAAACAAAAACAAAAAGTTTGATACAAAAAAATTAAAACCTGAAAAAAAACTGCATTGGGTTGGGTGACTCACGGTGACGTGGTCGAACAGGCTGAAGGTGCAGCAGCCACAGCTGGAGGTGGTGGTGATGTGGTCGGCGTAGCGCCGCACCGTGCCGCTCTGCCACTCGCAGCGGCCGTCCGCCGCCGCCGCCGCCACCACCTGACCCTCACGGTTCCTCAGGTACACGGCGCCCTTCACACCGTACCTGCACACAGACACACACTTATTGGTATGTTGGTTCAAATATTCCCATCTGAACACATCTAATTCCTATACTTGGTTCCAAAAACCTACAATAACTCCTTAATAAATACTGCAGATAATTACACATAGCAATAAAACAAATGAGTTATAGAAGGGAGATGGCAAATAAATAAATGATAATGATATAATAAATAAAAAAGGGTTTATATTGGCACTTTACCTACGAGACTGAACCGAGGTAGAGGTGGAGACTGAGATACAGGACGTACCCTAACTTACTCTGACTTTCACTAATTGAAATTTAAACTAACTGAGCTTATTTAGTTTTACCTAATTTTTAGATTTTATATATTTTTTCCTTGAATTCCACGTATGTTGTAAATTTACTTTGGGTGTCGAGTCGAATATTTGGTCAAATTTCACTTTAGATGTAGGAAAATTCGGATTTCTAGGCAATAATTTACTAAAGAAAAACAGCATTTCTGAATCAAATCAACGCCCATCTATCCTCACATCAACTGGTGATAGTTGTTTTTCTCATATTTTTTGGGTCTCTAATTATTTAGCATTTGATTTATTATTCTAAAAACAATATGTTTTTTACGTTGAAATGGACTAAAAAGTATGACATTTGAATCTTTGGAGTCATTCAGTCCACTGACAGCTGTTGGCTAACTTGATTAGCTGGTTGTTAGCTAACTTTTAGCCTAACAGTTGACTAACTGTTGGTTGATTGTTTGCTAATTATTAGAATGGCTGTTAGGTAACTGTTAGCCTAATGGTTGACTATCTGTTGGATGGCCGTTAGCTAATGGTTAGGTAATATTTAGCTAACTGTTAGCCTAACGGTTGACTAACTGTTGGATGATTGTTTGCTAATTGTTAACATGGCTATTAGCTCACTGTTGGGTAATATTTGGCTGACTGTTAGCCTAACAGTTGACTAACCGTTTGTTAATTGTTAGCATGGCTGTTGGCTAATGGTTAGGTTAAACTTAGCTAATTGTAAGCTTACCATTAGCATTACTGTCAGCTAATTGTAAAAATAACTTCAACATGTTGGTAGCTCCGATTAAATTTCTTTTAAATGAAAATGCCGTATTGGTGAAGCTGCTGGAACAAACGTCTTACTCTGGGACGAACACCAGCAGGCCGTTGTCCCGGATGGCGTAGACCACGGCGTCGGCCACACAGTGTGGGTCGGTCAGAGGGTCTCTGTCTCTGAAGTACAGACACTGGAACAGGCTGGTGGACAGCTGCTGCGCCCGCTGGGCCGCCTGGGGGGGAACACGTGTCAGGGAAATTCTGTTTATCTACAGCTCATAATTCAGGCTTGCTGCTGCCTAAACATAAATTAATTGTTGGCTAGCTGCTGCCTAAACATTAGTTAATTGTTGGCAAGCAGTTGTCTAAACATTAGCTAATTGTTGGCTAGCTGCTGCCTAAATGCTAGCTGAAACAAACTGTGTAAACATTAGCTACTTGTTGGCAAGCAGTTGTCTAAACATTAGCTAATTGTTGGCTAGCCTATGCCTAAACGTCAGTTAATTGTTGGCTAGCTGCTCCCTAAACATTAGTTAATTGTTGGCAAGCAGTTGTCTAAACATTAGCTAATTGTTGGCTAGCCTATGCCTAAACGTTAGTTAATTTTTGACTAGCTGCTGCCTAAACGTTAGCTAATTGTTGGCTAGCTGCTGCCTGAACATTAGCTAGTTGTTGGGTAGTTGCTGCCTGAACATTAGTTAATTGCATCAAAGGGAACAGAAGAGGCTGTAAATGTAAAAGCGAATGGGGGAAACACTGGTCTGTTTATCTACTGTTTGACATGTCCCCTGTTTCTGATTCTGGTCTCAGGCTGGTGGATTATGGGCCACAACAGGAACACCAAGTTCAGGTCAGTAACTTTTGTAATGACATTGTAATGTGTGTTTAAAGTACCGTATTATCCGCACTATAGGGCATCTGAAAGCCTTTAATTTTCTCAAAAACTGACAGTGTGCATTATAACCGGTGCGCCTTATACATGGACCAAGATTGATCTGCCACAGGTCTAGCAGCTACAGGAAGCAGCCGACGCCATTTTCTTTGTAGAAGAAGCAGTGCGTGGTGCATGCTGGGACATTTTCATTCATTTGAATTTCAGCTGAACAAGGTTGGTCATATTGTGAACGTGGATGTTAATGTTTGAACAACGTTGAGTTATTGTATTTTAATTGCTTTGCACGATGCGCCTTGTATACCGGAAATAAGGTAGATCAGAGTAAAACCGGTTCATTAAAAGCCAAAATGGGGACAGAGATCGAAGCTGAAGGCGGTTCTGACCCGATTCTTGCTGTTGATGTGATGGGCCGTTTCCTCCAGCTCCTTGTTGCTGGCCGGAGCCCGAGCCCGGACCAGGGCCCTCCGGTCCAGTTTCGGGGACCCCTGGTCCAGATCCTGGTCCCGGTCCAGCTCCAGGGCCTTGTCCTGGTCCAGATCCGGGGCCTGGTCCCGGTCCAGCTCCAGGGCGGCGCTCAGCAGCCGGTGGACGACCACGTCAGCGTAGCGTCGGATGGGGGAGGTGAAGTGTGTGTAGCGGTCCAGAGCCAGGCCTGCACAGAACACCCCCTCCCAGTCAGAACCAGAACCAGAACCAGAGCAGAAATCAGCCGGGGCTTGACGGGGGCACCGTAGTGGTAGAACTGGTCCAGGGACTCGGAGCCGGAGGAGAAGTAGAGCGCCTGCGACATGGCCTGGGTGGCCATCATCCTCAACATCCGGTTCACCAGGGGGTCCCGGGGGTCCACGGCCCGGTCCAGGGACTCGGCCAGAGCCTTGTTGGTGCTGTGGGCAGAGCAGAGTCCAGATGATGACCAGGAAAAACCGAAGAATCTCCAAACTTTATGCGAGATAAGTTATTAGGGAACGACTAACTTATGTTAGTTCTATTCTGTTTGTTTTGATAGATAGATAGATAGATAGATAGATAGATAGATAGATAGATAGAT